CCGCCCCAGGCGGCTTCCCGCTTGTTGGCAGAATGGCCGCAGCGGGTCAGACATCCCATCTGCACAGCCTTGAAGAAAGGAGAGGGCCAGCTCTTCCATAGGCTTCCCCAAGAGAGCCAGGTTGTTTCTTTCCCAGAATTCCCTGAGCTCTCCTCTTGTTTCTCATTGGTCCCTACTGAGTCCTCTGTCCATTCCTTACCCAGTCTCTGTGGCAGGGAGACGCCACATGCTCATTGGGTACCTGGATCTGTCACCATGATGGGTAAGGGGGAGTGGATAGAGCACATGGCTCACCAGAGAGAGGTGGAAACCCACCTGTCAGGGAGAAGGGGCAGTGCCATCACTGAGGGGAGTTAGGGAGGAAGTAATGGGTTCCATTTGGGACGCTGAGTTTGAGGAGTGAGTGGAGAGGAAGTCTGCTGTTCAGAAAGGTATCTGGATTGGAACCAGAAATTAGGTCATGGGCCCTGGCTCAGTGGGTTGAGCATCGTCCCATAGACCGAGAGATCACTAGTTTGATTCCCAGTCAGGGCACAAGCCTAGGTTGTGGTCTCCATGCCCATTAGGGGGTGTGCAGAATGCAGCCAATTATTGTTTCTTTCTCCCTCTCCCTCACTCTCTAAAATCAATAAAAGCATATTTTTAAAAAGAAGAAGAAAGAAAAAAGTGTTTAAAGACACTTGTGTCGCCCTGGCCGGTTTGGCTCAGTGGCTAGAGCATTGGCCTGCGGATTGAAGGGTCCCAGATTTGATTCCGGCCAAGGGCACATGCCCAGGTTGTGGGCTCGATTCCCAGTGGGGAGCATGCAGGAGGCAGCCAATCAATGATCCTCTCTTATCATTGATGTTTCTATCTCTCTGTCCCTCTCTCTTCCTCTCCGAAATCAATAAAAATATATATATATTTTAAAAAGGTGGCTATTTGTTCCTTTTTAAAAATAAATAAATAAAGACACTTGTGTCTTTAAAAAGTAAAAACTAGGGCCTGGGAGTAGAGGAGACATGACAGGGGGTGCAAAAGGGGCAAAAAGGGGCCCGGATTGAAGGCCAAGAGGT